CAGGTAGAGTTCAAGCTGGCAAATGCTACAAGCTCTACACACGAAACCTTGAGCAACAAATGGCAGAACGACCAGAGCCTGAGATCAGGCGAGTGCCTCTGGAGCAGATGTGTCTTTCAGTTCGTGCCATGGGTATGAGGGACGTGGCTGCATTCCTTGCCCGGTCACCCACTCCCCCTGAAAGCACTGCCGTTGAAGGAGCAGTCAAGCTTCTGCAAAGAATAGGCGCTATGGATGGGGAAGAAATGACCGCCTTGGGCCAGCAGCTCGCCATGATTCCTGCAGACCTTCGATGCGCGAAACTCATGGTTTATGGCGCCATTTTTGGATGTCTGGATGATTGTGTGACTATTGCGGCCATACTCAGCACCCGCAGTCCGTTCCTGTCACCTTCGGAGAGGAGAAATGAAGCGAAGGAGGCGCGAATGCGGTTTTCGAAGGGCGACGGTGATCTTCTCACCGATCTCGAGGCTTTCCGGCACTGGGAACAGATGAGATACGACGGCGTAGGCCAGCGGCAACTGCGGTCTTTCTGCGACGAGAACTTCCTCTCGTACCTGACGCTCAATGATATCTCGGCTACGCGGATGCAGTACTACTCAGCCCTTCGAGAGATTGGCATTGTCGCAGCAAAGGATGCCAATTCTTCGCAAAGCCAGAGCAGATCCGGAATGACGCTACTCCGCGCGCTCACGGCTTCAGCGTTCAGCCCGCAAATCGCGCGTATCCAATATCCTGACAAGAAATTCACTAGCACGGTTTCAGGCGCCAAGGAGTTGGATCCCGAGGCACGAATGATCAAATACTTTTCGCAAGAGACTGGGCGGGTGTTTGTGCACCCAAGCAGTACGCTATTTGACAGCCAGGGATTCTCCGGTAACGCAACGTTCATGTCTTACTTTACCATGATTTCTACAAGCAAGACATTCATTCGAGACCTCACACGTAAGTAACCTGCGCTTCGGGCGCTTCGAATACATCTTTACTAACCTCCCTTAGCTTTCAACTCCTATACCCTGCTCTTGTTCTCGGGAGCAATCACACTGGATACCCTAGGAAGAGGCTTGATAGTTGATGAATGGGTGCGGCTCCGAGGCTGGGCGCGACTAGGGGTCCTGGTATCGAGGCTTCGGGGTATGGTTGATGACGTTATTGCGCTGAAGATTGAGAATCCAGGACTGGACCTGACAGACAACGAAGTTATTCAAATGGTTGGAAAGCTGATAGAGTTGGATGGGCTAGACGCATGATAGATGACGGCGCAACGGCTTGACAAGGAATCAGATACGGACATGATATAGAATAGAAATGATCTCTGGGGAGCTCACTGAGAAAATAAAAGCAAGGGTCCAGTTACTGCGCATTTCGACACAGCTTCGACGTGAGCCTCGACGTCAGTTGTTAAGCTTTCGCATCTATAAGATCCACCATATCATTTCCGTGATACCAACTGTCGTCACCTAGCCCACTCTTGTGAAAATTTCTGCCTCCCGCGGTACGCGTCCGCTGGCGCATACGAATAAGTGAAAAGCCTGCCTGTCATGTTTCCAAAGTACACTGATACGTCTCGGGTCTCTGGGTCGAACAAACGGACGTTGGTTGGGTCCCTTGGGATGGTGCATTAAGTTCCTGGTGATCAGCGACCGGGGTGCAGGCCGGGGGGACGCGGGGTAGCTCGGCATCCAATGGCTGCTGCCCTCCCTGCTGCACTGAGAGAGGTGAGGGACGGGAGGGAGAGGTGGGTGGTGACCAAACCATAGCACCTCCCCCAATTCTGCAACGGACTTTGCACACGCAACACACGCACATCAACAGAGCTCGTGCGTTTTCCTCTCAACAGGATCGTCCGCACCTGTCTTCTCCCAACCGCACATGACAACGGCGCCAAATATAACTGTCCGGATGGCCTCAACGAGCCGATCGCAATTCCGACGCTTCTGATCCTCTTCCTTCTTTCTTGTCGAAATCTAACTTTAACTTTGGCGACTTCCCGGCTGAGCCATGAAGCTTACCACGCCATATGCGCAATGGGCCTCCTTCGTCATTCTTGCGCCGCCGACCGTCCTGGCGGCAGTGCGCCCGCCCTTCATCAATCCGGATTCCCTCCCCAAAGAGCCCGTCTTTAGAGGTCCTTGGGAGCGATTTGTGAAGGCACCAGAAGATAAGACTTACATCGTCCCGTCCCGCATCTGGGATGTTGAGGGCAACATCACGACATCCCACCGGCCGGTGGAAGTTGGGGCGGCCGCGGCGCATGCCTTGGAACACGGCATCACAATCGGTCCCGGCGGCTTGCTGACGCTCGAATTCGAGGAAAACATCTCTGGACGGTATCCACTACTCACGTCTCTCCCACCAGTGAAGTCTTCCGGCTAATTTCTGTCTCCCTACAGTGTCTGTTTCGATGTTTCCTCCATAGGCAACGACCCCGAGATCTTCCTGGCATACTCCGAGTCCTCTCTGTTCGCCGGACCGCTCCCGGACACCACGACCGAGCAACGAGAACGAGACCTGCCCCTACATTTTGAGTTCGACGGTAAGACCGGCACCGTATGCGTAGGGAAAGACTTTGTAAGGGGTGCCTTCAAGTACCTCACTTTGCGAATGCCGGAATATCCAGTTCTGCCAGATGAAGTCATTGTAAGGCAAGCTAGAGATGAACAGGCCGTGCTGGGAGGCGATAAGGCGCCTTTTGACCCTGCCGACAGGAACCCGTATGACAAGCCGTGGGTGACGCTTATGGGTCTCTGGGTGAACTGCACCGCATTTCCTTCCCAATCCAATGGTCGGGCCTATTCAGGATACTTCCACAGCTCTAGCAACATGCTCAATCGGATCTGGTACGCTGGTGCATACACGCTTCAGCTGTCTACCATCGATCCCAAGGAAGGATCAGCAATCATCGACTATAACCGTAATGTTGACCACAACGAATCTCCGACTGGGTCTTGGTACTCCAATTTCACCGTCGCAAACGGGACAGCGGTAACGACGGACGGTGCAAAGCGCGACCGCATCGTCTGGCCAGGCGACATGTACATTGCCGTGCCGGGAATTGCCATGAGTACATACGACATGGTTGCGGTGCGCAATGCTCTCGATGTGATCTATGATCACCAGTATCAAGACGGGTCACTGCCGTGGGCGGGTCCTCCCCTGGGGTTTCGTGGAGAGTTTAGTGATACATACCACTTACACACTCTGCTGGGCACGTACAACTACGTCAAATTTTCTGGAGATGTCGAGTGGCTTGCAAAGCGCTGGCCAAATTACCTTAAGGCTCTCAATGTGAGCATCGACAAGGTCGACCACACCGGTCTTATGCACGTCACCAGCGGCGCCGACTGGCTGCGCCCCGGCATGACAGGCCACAATCTCGAAGCCAGCGCCATCCTTAGCACGGTCTTGGGTAAGAGCGTCAAACTGGCTAAATGGCTCGGAGACGACAGCCCAGCGGCGCGGCCTCATGGGGTATGGACAGGACTGCGTATCGTCATGAATGCCGGACTCCAGCAGCTGTTCTGCAAAGACACAGGTCTTTACTCCGATAACATCGGCAGACGAAGCTGTAGGGGTCCAGAGCACACCGACCCCCAGGACGGCAATAGCTGGGCCCTAATCTCAGGTGCGACACACTACTCCCGGGGGTTGGAAGTCTCTCGAAGCCTACAGGCGCGGTGGACCAAGCATGGCGCTCCTGCCGTTGAGTTTCCCAACGTCATTTCGCCTTTTGTATCTTCATTCGAGCTCCTCGCACACTCCGCCGCCGACAACCACGATGCGGCCGTGGAGCTGATGCTACTTGAGTGGTCATACTTGCTCGAAGGACCCGGATTCACAAATTCGACGCTTGCTGAGGGATTCCGCGTTGACGGCGGCGTACAGTACCCTGCGTATTGGTCGGCTGCTCGCAATTCTCACTGCCATGGCTGGTCTTCGGGTCCTACGTCGGTTCTGACAAGCGAGATTCTGGGTATTCAACTGCTCGCCCCGGCAGGGACGGAATGGACTGTTCGGCCGCATCTGACGAAGTGGCTCGGCTTTGCCAGAGGCGGTTTTGCAACTACTCAGGGGGTTTTTGAAGTTAAGTTGAGCCGTGTGGTGACATCCACATCTTCATCGGCCAGCTACCAACAAAAGAGGCGCCGCGGGCAGGTTATTGAGATCACTGCACCAGATCACACTACCGGTACCTTCGAGTGGGTTCCGTCGTCCACAAAGATAGACGTCGAAGGAGGTCGGACGACGGCGTGGGTTGCCTGGGAGGACGACGGGCAGACACCCGGCTCAAAGGGCGTTGTAGAGCAACTCGACGTTGCCCTGGCCCGCGTTGATCCCCCGAGCGAGGAGGAGTGGCACAGGCAGAGCTTCATCTACCGCGACGACACACGGTTAGTCTATGACGAGTCGTTCCGTGAACCCAAGGTCGCCGATCGGGATGCCGGTGTGGTAGACTGGGATGCGCTGGAAGCAAACTACGTCAAACCCCTGACGGAGATGTTTAAGGTTTAGGGGACCTTCGCGCCCTCTTGTGTATAAGTACCGAGTGTCCCCTTGTTTTCGGTTTGGGCAAGTCTTTGCGCTCTTTTGGACGGTATCTGTGAAGTGTTCCAAAACAGAAAAAGGACTATGGTAGGACTTTAATGTGTGTACGGCTGGTATGGCTATGGGAAATTGGGCGCGGCGTAAATGTACATTATGTGATGGTTTGGGTTTGTTTATCCGGCTCGGGTCGCCTCTGATGACGTATTCAATGGAATGATAAATGTCAGAGAAGGCAATTTATATTCTATATGAGACCACTGGTCGGCGTAGTGATGGGCGCATGAATTCCCACACTGTTTGCACTCACACCTCTTTTTCGAACTCCAAAAAAGACAACGCTCAAACGAAGGGTATCGATGTACAATTCCCGTGTCTCCCAGAGACTCCTAAACACATCGCACGTGTAAAAATAAATAAAAAATACAATTTCCCATGTCGGTAACCACCGTTACTTTTTAGTACAGTAGCTCGCCGCTTTCCACCATCCGGGTGAACTTGTCGTCTGGGTCGACAAAGTGGTAGTCCTCACCGCGCACCACGCGGTCCACCTCTTCACGGACGAAGGGGTACACATCCTTCCACGCGTTGCGACCCATCCAGCAGTCCAAATGTCCGTAGCCCGGAACAACACGGCGGCGGTACTGAATGCCAGCCGGAGCACCGCCGTCGAGCTGTCTACCGTGAGACCCAAAGGTGTCGCAGAGGATCTCGTACGTCCTCTCCGTCGCCTCTGGCGTGAGGACAGCGTTGTCGCGGCCGACGAAGAGCATGATTGGGATGCCCCGCAGCCTGCGGATGTTCTGCGGCGTCGTGAGCGGCTGAAACAGGGGCCCGTTGGTCATGACATGCCCGTCAAAGCCCTGCTTCATGAGGAGATGCAGCTGTGTCATATTGACGCCGCCAAAGAAGCGGTCCATCTGTCTATGGGTAGCCTCGTTGAGGTTGGCGTGGTTCCAGCAACGGCCGAAAACGAGCGTACAGCGATGGCAGCAGGCGTTGTTGCAGATCTCTTTGCGCTCTTCCGGGTACAGCCGGAGGAGCTCGTTGAGGGCACGCTGGAGAATGCTGTCATCCTTGGCGGTGCTGCAAGAAAACCAGTTGCCAAGGACCATCTTGTACATTTTATCGAGCGGTATCGGACCAGCCATGACCTTGGCCATGTTGAGAGTGCTCCAAATAGGATTCATGAAGACCTGGCTGCAAGTGATGCCCTGGATCCAGGATCCCGGGATGGTACCGTCAAGGAGGCCGCAGGAGAATGCAACACTACCCATGCAGTGCGCGATGGTGTAGACTTTGTTGTCCTTGGAATTGCCGTCCGAGTAGTCCTGACGGATGTGCTCGATGCAGGCTTGGAGGTCTAATCTGGCGTCGTAGGTTGTCCAGTTGTTCTGGGCGACCATGAGCTGACCGATGCGGTGAACCGTGATGAAAACGCGGTAGCCGGCGCGAGTGAAGTAGTTGACCGCGTTGTATTTGATCGTGGGCAAGGCGTAAATCTGATGATCGACGGCGGCGCCGGGAATCAAAAAGAGGTTCTTCGTCTCGATGTTTGGGTTGGTCGACTCCCACATGTGCATCCGTGTCTTGACATTGTCCTGAGCAACAATGACGAACGAGGCCGTTGGAGGAGTGTCGTTGACGTAGCCGTTATAGTTGACGCTCGGGTATTGCAATGGGGTGAATGGGGCCAGGAAAAGAGACAGTGACTTGCGGGTGAAGTAAGTCAGGAAACTCGCCGCGCTGTAGGCTTTCTTGACCAGGCCGCTTCCCGTTGGTGTCATGGTCATGATCTGAGAGACGAAGTCGGCGGGCTGGATGTGCATGATGCCTTTGGCGACCACTTTTCCGAGCCGCCAATGCTCGTCGCAGTTATCGCCAGCCTCCAGTCCACGTCTGGGCTCAGAAATGGTGACATAAAGTGTACTTGTGGCCTTCCAGAACTGGAAAGGGGCCAGAGCAACCGATGAATCGACCACCTTGTATCCATGGAAATGATACTTCTCTCCATTGACACCGCGCAGGTCAAAGTCGTACGTCATGTTACGCGTTCCGGGAGCTTTCTGGTCCAAGATGAAGAGATTGAAGTCTCCACGTTGGACCATGAACGGGGATCCACGGATGGTAGGGCAGACGAATGTGCCAGTGAGCATGGCTGAGTGGTCGGGCTCCTTGATCATAGACTTGGTGTTGAAGGACTGAACGCTGAGGAAGAACCTGGCACTTTCGCAGAGACTCTTTGCAGTTCGGTATGCTAGCTCGTAGGTGTCTCGCTTGTCGGTAATCAACCCATCGTCGCGATGAACGAATCCTGACATGACCTCGGTGAATCCAAAGCCACCAGCCTTTGCCCTGTTGGCATGGTGGATCAGGGACTTGGCCTTGTGGATCCTTTCGTTCTCTTGTTTGAGCTCTACCGTGTCCTTCTCCTCCTTCGGCGCGAACTTGGGTTCGCCGAAAAGATCGAGAATGCCGTTGGGGTTGGGGTGGATCATAAGATCCCTCTTGTGAATATACGCATCGACAGAGCGCTCGGCAAGAGCAGTGATGGTAGCGAAGGGGTTCACGCCAATAGCACCAGGTATGACAGAGGCATCCGTCACAATCAAGCCATCATGTGTCTCGTCGTCATCTCCAACAAAAACTTCACCAACATCGTTCGTAACGCCAGTTGCGCCAGTATCGTCACGAGCCATACACGCTCCCCTATAAGATGTTAGTATTATTCATTTACGAGAAAAGGGGTCATCTCACCCGATGGGGTGGACAGTGACTTGTTGACCTCCCATCAACGCAGCGAACGGGTTGTTGACGAAGGTACCGCCCATGGCCTGGGTTGCCTTGGCCAGCAAGTCGTTCAACTTCCGGACATGGTCGCTCCGTCCTACGCCAAGGAACTCGAGAACAGGCTTGTCGTCCTTGAGAGTGAGCATGGCCTGGCTGCTATCATGAGACATGACGAGGTAGACCTGAGTATTATCCATGGAGCCGCCCTGACGATATGCGCCAAAGATGTGACTTCGGTATCTGGCGAAATTAGAGCGAACCTTCTCAGCAAAGGACTCGCCAGTGGCTTCGACAGATCCAGGCATCATCTCCAACAAGGTCTGGAGGAAGGGCGTCAGAGAACGAGGAATTGCACCCTCTTGAATCACGTATCCATCGAGGGGGTTCTCGTGGCCTTCGCGGTCATCAATGACGGAGTTAATCGTAGGACCAATTGGGTTGTAGGGGTTGGGAAATGGCTTTCCGATGGCATTTGCTTCCTCGTCCATGTTGTAACTAGTAAGATGTTAGCACGTAAGCAATAGATATGGCTCTAGGTAGCCTGCTTACCCAAAAGCGAGCATATCACCATTGCCACTCATGTTCTCGCCAACACGAGAGCTCATGGAAAGCCCCATCTCTTTGCTCCTCAAAAGGATTTCTGTGGTTCCAACAGCACCGGCGCCGAGAAACACGCACTCTTTGGCGTGCACCCACATCAAGTCTCCGTGGAGGTTTGCCTTGAAGTGGCCTCTGTTGCGGCCATGCCAGGCGAAAAAGATAAGGTAGCCTCCAATGTGCTCCTCGGCCTTCTTAATGTATCGGACTTCACATTCGCAAAACATTTCGGCACCCCAATTCCATGCGTCGGCAAGATAAGTCACCAACGTCGTTGTTTTAGACCCGTCGTTAACGCCAGTGCAGTCCTGTCCGGTCAACGCGGACGGGCACATTTCCACGCCGGTACTGTTAGGGCCGTTGCGGAATCTAGTTGTTTGGGGAACCATTTTAAATTTGCTGGAAAGGCCAAGAGCAGCAGCTTGTTTCTTCAAGACGTTCACCTTGGGGAGTTCGGGCCAGTCGTCTGGATACTGGGTCGGCTCGAGAACATCTCTAGCTCTTTGGTAGTCTGGAAGTCGAGGATGTTAGTATCAATATGACATGGTGTTATCACTTGGTGACGAGTTGCATACATTGTTCCAAGCAGCTGGGATCTTCTCTGATAGCCTTGGGCCAGATAGGCATGGATAAGGTAGCCTGGTCTGCTTCAAGGAAGACGTTGGCGTTCATCAAGCTAGTTCCACCGAGGCCTGAAGGAAAAGTTAGTCTAGGACGTCACCCAATACAGGGCGCGGCGGCAAATCCTTACCATTGCCAACAACAGCATTCAACCCCTTCCCAAAGATCAAATGGTACATGCCAGTCGGATCACCCCTCTCGATGGTAGTGCTAGGGAGCCATCCGGGGGCAAACTCTCCAGAAACATGAACTTGATCAAATGCGTCGAGAACACCACTAGGGTACTCTCCAGGCCATTTCTCCTGTCCACGCTCAAGTACACAAACAGACTGGCGTTTGCCGCTTGCATTCTTTGTTCTTGCTATGCGGGATGCGGCCACGGCACCACCATATCCAGAACCGATAACCACACAGTCATAGCTGTGGCGCATCAACTCAACGGGCTTCGATATCCGAGGGTATTGCCTTCGGGCCTCGTCATCGTAGGTGCGGACGTTGGCATACGCCCGTGACCTTGGGGCATTGTCTTCCTCATGTATTCCAAATGTGGGAATACGATGAGATTTACTGTATCTGATGCCGTTGGACGGAGGCTCCTCTCTGTAAGAGCGGGACGAAGACGATGTCGGGCGAGAACCCGACGCTGGCGAGAAGAGTCTGGACGTGGAACTGTTGGCGCTGTTGGTGCCATTTGTTGAAGAGCCGTTATAATCCATGCGGTATCCGTTGGCCTTAGCCACGTTGATATTGGTCGGCTTAGGGTCGACGCCGTTGAGCGGACCTTCGGAAGTTGCCATTGGTGCCATTTAGGAGGCGTCTCAGCCCTAGCAGCAACTGCGCCGTTGACGGCACTAAGGAACTCGAGTGTAAGGGTTTCTGTTGGTCGCAAATGTGATAGTCCGTAGTGTTTGAGTGCCTCTGAGGGTGACCAATGCTTGTTGTAGGAATCCAAGAATAGTACTGAAATGATAGGAAGCTGTGACTGAGAAATATCCTGCGGAGGAACACACAAGAGTCTATATAGTCACTACAACCAAGGCAACCAAATAGCCAGAAGTCATGGAACGAATGCGGACGGCGAGGGCAGGAAGGGGACGAAGGGAGGGAAACGGGCTCCTGGTACGAGGAGCAAGTATATCAATGGGGGTCCATGGCGGGCTAAGCAGACAGGTGTGCCGCGCGAACTATTCCTAGTCAGAAATCCCACACTAGCAGATGAGATAGACAAACCCACCGCAGAACGACATGCTGGGTGACCGGGGTACTGGGAGGATCCTTGCCAGCACCTGCATGGGTGCATACGGCATGCGTACCGCCGTACGCTGGGCTACGAGGTGGTCAATTCGGTGAGGGACAGTGCCGGATCCGTCACCTTTCGCAAATCGGGAGCGGAGGGTACGGGATCGAGGCGAAGAAGCAACACTGGTTCGGCGGGTCCTGTGAGGAATTGGCCAAGTCTCATAGAGTATCGATAGGGCCGCGCTCAGTTTCTCCACCGAACTCAAGGTAGGCAATGATTCAAGTCGAGTTTTGCGGTGACGGCAACCTGACAGTTGGTCCATGTCTCAAGCCCACAGGGTCCATGTCGCTTGGTGGAGCGAGTCGACGAGTGGTTCTGGTGAAAGAGGGCAGTAATCGAGCAGGCCGAGGCAAGTTTTCCCTTGGGGATGACGGGATGACGAGGCTGGCTGGGAGTGGTGCTGGCGGGGGACGAGACCGGGGCGGTGGACTCGGGGCTGAGGAGTCGAAGCCGGGGATTGTCGTTGGAGATGGAGATGGAGTGAGAGTGAGACTCTGAGGGTTCAGCGCCATGTCTATCTATCTCTTGACGTATGTGTGGGTGGGTTGGTGGTGGTGGACAGATGTGCGGATGCGCAGAAGGCGTTGCCGAAAATAATGGGAGCGTCCATTGTCCCCTCTAGTGTCCCGTCCGTAGTTGCATACGCTACTACTGCGCAAGGTATGTAGAATGAGATTGAGAGGTGAGAGAGAGGTACGCGGTTGGAAGGACGATGTACACAGCGGCTTCCCAGCGGGTGTTAGTGTGCAGGAACTACTGCTGAAGGGCTGTCTATTGGTTCGTCGCGACCAGTCATGATTCGAGAGAGAATAGCACCTGCCTCATATTGGGCCAATGGACGGTGCCGAGGCCAGTCCAATGGCGGAAGGGTGGGTTGAGGGGGAAAGGAGCTGAATGTTAGGCCAGGCGTAGAGTGCTGCGACTCTGCGCGTAGCGCAGTGAGGTACGGCGTATTGCTGGACTCGGACTCTGGTCTGGCAAAGAAAAAAAAAAAAAAAAGATTCTGCCTACGCGCAAATGGGCCAATGGCAGCGCTCCTATCGATCTCAGGTCGGGTTTTGCCAATCCTAGACAGTGGGGATCTCTCCACCCCGACGGCCTGGTTACCCGTTTTGATTTGTTTTAGCGTCCCTGGCGACCTTCAACTTGACCTGTCAATCTCAACAGCGAAACCAACTGGAAAAGCAAATGCCCAGCGCGGCTGGGTTTTGGTTCGGGGGTGGGTGCGCGCAATCGCACAAGGGAGAACGCGCCGGTGGATCGTCTTCAAAGTGAATGCCTGAACCATCCTTGCGTCTGGGACGGATACGACAAGGTTAATTAAATTACAACTGGACCCCTACAACACCGTAAAGGCCATGGCATCACCATCGATACCGTGACTACGGCACGGGGGCTTGAACCGAGATAACCGTTGAAGGTTTTGATGCTACCTAGCTAAATGCTTCTGGCAGCGCATATGCTTTGACGCTTGGGGAACCACGGACTGGCCTTGTTCAGATCCAGGGCCTCGGTGAAGGGGGAGTAGTGAGACACGCAGCCGGACCGCCGACGCATCCCGAGCTGAAGCTGTGAGCCTCACAGAATGCGTCCGTCCAAGACGAGCCTCGGCTGAGTTTCCTCTTGGGACGTCAGAATAACGTCCGCATACACCTGAGTCTTGGCTCAGGTCAACATGAAGTGTCTCTTCTCGTCTTTGCAACGATTGGATAGAGAATAGTTACCTGGCTGAGACGATTCACCGGCGTAAGGCAGCCAACAAGGAGGGGCAGATAGCTGCGGTTCCGTGACGGCCAATCCCTGTGCAGATGCTGCGTCTATTGGCCCGTAACCGACCAAAAACGGCATCGCTCTGCCTGATCTCCCGTCAATATCACCGCTGAGGCATCGCCGGTGCGTATGTGCGGCACGTGAATGGAACCGCCATGTGTTGCAGTGCAGTGCAGTCAGCAACTAAGTGGTCTATGTAAAGATGGGTGGTGGGGTTGGGTGGCATCGCCGTTGGTTGGAGACGTGTGGTCTGGTGTGACGACGTTGGTTGCTGGAGACCATGAAGGGGATTAGGATTCAGGAAATGCGTGACCGATTGTTTCCAAATCCTTCCCTAAGTGCCCCTTTCCATTGTTCTTCCATTCGCACCCCATTCGAGTACGCATGTTGGTAAGCTCACCTCAGTCAATGACTGTTCACCGCGCGAGGTACTTTGGTATTGACAATCTGCAATGTCGTGGTACCTCAAGCACCACGCGGTAAGGACCCGCAGCGGGGCCTTCGTCCGTCATCCGGGGCAGCGGCCGCCCGCTGCGCTGCGCCATAAGGTACGCTACTGCCATGCCGACTCGCCGGCCCCCACTGATATCCCGGCGGTAGGCAGGCAGGTACGAGCCTACCTAGGTACCTAATACGCACTTGCGCTCTTGTGCTGCTCAAGGCAACAGTCAATGGAAGGCTGTGTTCTGTGCCTCACGTAGCGTACCTATCTGCAACACCGCAGCATCCATCCATCCTCGGCACACGTTGCATCATTCGCCCTCGGGCATCTCCAGCCCTTTCTTGTCCCTCCTCGATTCACCTCCGTCATTGGCAGCAATCCTGAGAACCCCTTTCCCTAGCCGTCAGCAATCGTCCGACAAGCAATGCAGCTAAGACCTGCCTCCGTAAATATCATCCAATCTGACTAGTACACTTATCAACTCCACGAGCCATTGCTGCAAACTTCTGGGTAGGGCTGTCCTGGAACCCGTCCAGATAGGCTACTCCAGATGGCCCTCCTGCAGGGGTCAACCACGAGCATATGGCATGGGGGCTGAGAGCTCGACTTCAGATGGATGGCCCGCACTGACCCAACCACCGCCGTCACTGTGTACCAATCCCAGGGCTTGCGGACGACATCTGTCAGGGGTCATGGTCCTTTTGCTCGTGCGATTGACATCATGTTATTTGCATCTTGGAGAGGCTTCTCGCCGGGCACAGAACGCCATCTACTGTGCCTCGATCCTCCAGACGTACAAGCAGTGTCGATCGCGAAATGTCAGAGGTCGATCCGTCTGCACCCAATGGCATCGACCTAGAAACGGACCGAAAGAAAACGGCCGTCTCGACTTGATTCGACTGTGCGTCAAGTGCTCCCACACTCGCCTGGACGTTTGCCAGCATCCACGGAAAATCGAGAAATCTCACAGACGATGCGCTTTCGCTACCAGAGGCACCCGTTACGTCCGTTGGGAGCGCCACGACCCAAAGAGTCCACCACTCCAATCCCAGATATTAATACCATGACGTTAAATAAAACGTACCCGAGCTGCTGTGTTGCTGTGGCCACCCGTCGAGGCCAGCCGGCCTTATCGTCGAAGCGTTCCACAAACAGCACGAATAATCCCCGGATTCTTCCCCTTGCGGACGTTGCACACGACTTCTTTGGGCAGCACACGCGGATATTACGATAATGGCTGCCCAGATCTAGAGCTTCGACTGGCCAAAGTCAGCTTGATGGCGGCATGCAGAGCAACCATCCTCTTGTGACATTGCCACCCACCCAAGCGCTACAGTAGGGGGAGTGTCTCCGTCTCAGATTCGCTCTTCATCAACCTCTTACCGCGCTGTCAGCCTGGGGGTTGACATATCTGCTCATGATTTGATGCACTGCCACAGCCACTCCGGATAGCCGCTTCCCATGGCTGCAGGCGTCGCACGTTTCATCGATCCAACTTCATCTTGTGAGATGTCCGTTGAGGGTCATGGGTTATTCACTTTAGATATCCTTGCGATTCGTTAATCTGGCCTACAATTTGACATCAGAAATCGACCGTCTGCGGTTCGATTAGAGTCGAAAACCTAGGAAAGAAGCTCTACTTCTGGCGTGAGCCGCCCAGTGCCAGGTTCTCCTGGGGTTGTCTTCACCGGCTCGTCCGGTCAGCTTCGCAGAGGATGCCTCGAATAATGAAGACGATATTGCACAAAGGTTCCGATGTAGGCCGGGAGAGTCCGGTCGCCACCACCAAAACCCCTGATCCTCCATTTGAAATCTTGAATAATACGGACCGCTTCATCCCTCGTCAGCACCATAATCCCACACTCGCCAGCCTCCCTTCCTACCTAACGCTTACCGAAGGATTCGGCTCATCCTCTTCGGCACTTCAAATCATGGGGGTGTAAGCCGCAAGCAAGACTCTGGCCCTGAACCTCAACGGTGCCGGCATCATCACTTTGAAATCAACATCGGAAGGGGAAAGGGGAAAGGTTCTCGAATCAAAATGTTTTGGTATAGAACTATCTCAGGTATCCCTGTCCGCCAACGCCAGCTCCAAAATGCAATTGGAAGTTACACCGAAAAATTCTCAAGTCGTCATCTGCACATCGTCTCTTGAGACGTGGCTGCTTCGTGTGTCCCATTCCCGGGGGGTGGTATTTCTTTTTTCTTTTTTCTTTGGTGGTCATCATCAGAACCATCCGTTCAGTTCCACCAGTCACCCTGGTCGTGCATGGCGCGAGCGACCTTGACGAAGC